GTAAACCAAAAGACACAGGCATCTTGGAGCATAGCAAAATACAACAGAAAAAAATTTTTATAACATCAGTACTGAGCAATTTCCCATCAGGAACTAAACACATTTTCCTAATCCGAGCTGCTGACAGTTAACTGTTGTGAAACTGCTGTTTTCCTCTTAAGGCCCATTTTGGCACATAGCAGTGTGTGTGTGTGCGTATATGTCCGCGTGCATGTGCACGCACACGTGTGCCCCTGCAGCCAGTCAAACGTCTCAGGTCAGGCATGTAATTTCTGGACTCGGACGACGTCTTCAGCTGCTTTGTTCAATCACTCGGTATTTACTGCCTGTAAATAAACACAGGTGTGCAGCCTGAGCTCAAAATGGAACGTGCAATTTCCCTCCAACCAAAGGTCAAAATTTTAACTAAATATTTGGGACAAAGAAAGAGTCCTTGTTTCAAATTCTGGGGTGTGGGAAGTAATCAGGGCAGAATGGGAGCAATTTCACCCTCAACAGGGTTCAACAAATACAGTGAGTGCTTGTCACTTCTCAGAGACAAGCACTCAGGGACAAGTTCAGTGAAAGGTACATCTGACTCACTCCTGTGTGCAGACTTAACAACAGTTAGTGGGCATTTCTATTTTTGATGCAGTTTTTCAAAACAAGAAACAGAAAGCTATTGAAAGCTATTTCAACGCCACTTTTGTATTTTAAAATGCCATAATGTGTTGATTGGTCCCACACCTTTATTTGTGGAAGATGACAAACACAACATTCACATTTTCTACACAGTAGCACACCAGACTGACTGTGACCATAAGTACAACCTGTCTAAACAAGCATTTAGCCATGTTTACTGAATGTCTTTATTGTTTGGAAGATGTATAAACTCTTTATACAGAGCAAAAACACACAAGTGCAAGGTTCACCTGGCAGATGGTGGATAAAACTGACCTATGTGTACCTCAGCACCAAGTGACTCTCCTCACAATTAAGTCATCTCCCCCCACTGAAACCCCAACATCAGATTAAACATAAGCACATCAGCTCCAACACAAATGCTAGATTATTTTCTCACAGTGGAAGCCATTGTTCTGCCCACATCGTAAGGAGACTGAGGTCACATCCTTTTTCCTTTGAGAGTGTTCAGGCATATCCTACCGTGAAAAGAACTTCATTATGTTGCCTGTTTAAACAGCTGATTTTATGACTCAACACAACAAACAAAGAAAAGCATGTGGATTGAGTTTTAGATAAAACAAAATTAAAAAAAATAGAAAAATCATATGAATTTTACTTACTGATATGTCACACATTATTGGTTTCTCGGAGATCTATTGGACAATGGGCACAACATATTATCTATCTTATATATTTCTATCTCACTTAATGCTTGTATGACTTTGTTAGAATAAGTGCAAGCTATTATTATGAGAAGCAGAGATAAAGTGACTTAAGCCTGACACTCATCTCTAAAGGAAGTAGTTCTTTGTTGTTCCGCTACGTTGACTGTTAAAACAACACTAAATTATAGTAATGTTCATAACTTATGAAAATCAATCAATAATTTCACTTAATCTTTTCGCAACTTTAACAAAATATCCACTGCAGGTATAAAAACCTTCAACACTGTTGAACGTAGACATGGCTGATTAACCGTTTCCTGGTGCCTGGAGAGCACACCTTCTGAATTTCTATGTTTTGAGGTGCAGGGTCACCACCAGAGTAGATAAGATACTGCTTTGGATAAATCAATGATCCTATGTGGCCATTTAAAGTGACCAGTAACATAAAAAAAAGCTATGTATGTTTTAGGTCCGTTAATCTTTACTATGATAGAGTTGAATTATAAAAAAATAGAAATAATAATAAAATAAAAAACTTGTCACAAAATGGCAGCATTTTGGATGCCCAGATTTAAAGAAACGATATAAATGATTTGTAAGCTCTGTGAGAAAATATTACTGAAAACTGCTGCAGCTTATCAATGCTGAAGTTATCGTCCTATTTATTACTTTCCATTGGTGATAAATAAATGTACTTTTCACAGTTTTTGGGAACGGTAGACCAACTTTAATTCTGTCTTGTTCAAATCTTCAACACTAAAATGTAAAGTACTATGACTGATTCAACTGAATTACTCTACATAGCATGGAGCAAAAAAGATTCACTGATTTTTTAAAATGCAAATAGAAATAGCATTTACAGCATTTTCTCTAGCATTAGAATCACATTCGATTGAGGCAGCATAAAAATGAAGAATCTATCCAATCATGATTTTTGGACTCAAAGTCATTTAAGACTAGGCGTTAACAGATGCCAAGTTCCAGTCTTTAGTGCAATATAGAAGTCTTGAAGTAAGAATCTGTAATGGGCAAAGTAACACGAGGACTTCTTACATTCAAAATTATAACAAGCAACCAAAAAAATTAATAAATAAATAAAAGATGGAGCCAAATTTCACAGACCTTATCAAGAGCACAGAGTATGTCTCGGTTATTATAGGACATGTTATAACCAAAACAAACACCTTAGGGAATTCCCAGCATTCAAATTAATACAAATCCACATCAGCATTGATCTATCTAGGATGTCAAATCTAGCTTCATTTGAATATATTTAAGGTCCTTTTTTTTATTAGAATAAAACCTTTCAAACTAACCCTAACTCCAAACATGTGCCATAATAACAAGCCCTAAATAATCCTGTGGATTAAAGGATGCTATTTTCTTTCCCACCCCAGTTGATGCAGACACAGTCATCTCCACCCAGCTGTAAAACACAGACTATGATGACCTACATTATTGTACAGTGGGCACACACTCCAGGGATTGTAGGCAGGCGTCTATGCAGCTCTAGGCTTTAAGACACAGGTCTTAAAAAAAAAAAAAAAGAAAACTTCAATGCACAACAGAGGACTGTATGTTAAACACAGTGGCTGCAGATTAGCTCTCTGTTCCTGCAGGGCCCTCCCTCTACTGCCTGCCTTTGATATTTGGCAAAACCTGTCACCTCCAGGGGCAAGACAGACACAAGGGGAATGTTAAACGGCCCTATCCTTTGAGATGAAACGTTCGATATGAATCATTGATGCCGCTCATCTTCAAACTCTGTTTTGCTCTCTCTCTCTCTCACATACACACATTCACATGTATATGTAGATATATCCATTTATCATAGCTTCCAGCTATTACGGCCATGCAGCACAAATGCTATTTTCTTATAATGAGCAACTCCACTAATTAAAGGCTAATTCATTACAGTTTGGTTTGATGGCAATGTAGAAGTTGCAAATTCTGCACTTTTCACACAGAAACTGCAGGGCAGTTTGCAAAACATTTTCCTCAAACATGATGTTGTACAGTTCCAACAGGTTTCTCTCAGCGTGTGTGAATCTACGTGGGAAGGTCAAAGTTTAGAAGGTTCGTGAGCCCTTTAGTAGTGCGTCACCAACCTAACGCAGTCAGTGATGCCCAGAGGCTTCAACACATTGACCAGAAGTGTACAGTACGCTGAAATATGTCTGGTGCTCTTCATCCTGCAAGAAACACATTCTAATGCAATACATGGCAGCATGCAAGGGCCAAAATGAGGTGTTACAGGTGCTGGACCACCTGCTCCTGATGGCCAAAGTGTTTCCTTTAAAAAACATATTTAAACCTACCTGTTATTTGTGAATAACAGAGTTTGACCATCCTGTTGCTTTATAAAAGGTGGTGTGACATGGGCATTGAAAGTGGGTCAGCTTTGAAGAAACAAATGCAAAAAGAGACGATAAGTAGACAATGTTCCCTGATCTTTAAGGTTCAATTCTGAACAAAATAATTCATATAAGCACATGTACTCCCTATCTGGGAGAACAGTCCTGCTGCTTTGACCCAATGCATTAAACTTCCATTCCTTCTCAATGAACCTGTTCCAATTGATGGGGTTGTAAAAGATAAATCCTGTACTATTTAAACAAAACCTTGAACGGTGTTCCGTGATTTTATTACCTAGTGCCTTAACCAATACAACGACCTTATTTGTAGGAAATCAATAAGCCAATCCTCCGCTCATAAGAGGTATACCATTTGTAGACCATAACTTTTTTGTTTTTATTTGTACCGATCACCACTTGATGCTGTTTTGTAGAAATTTGCTTTATTTTTGAATGCAGATGCTTCTTTTTTGGAATAAGGTCATCTTCTGTCTCTCAATGACAAATGATAAAAAATGTTGCCACCCAATGTTTAATATTGGCACAAGCAACCATAAGCCAATGCTTATTTTCATTGGCTTCCATTTTATTTCTAAATTAATTGAAGGATTTGCTTCTATTTTGTCCTTTAACAGGCAAGCTTCATTTCATCTGTCTAAACCCCTGTCCTGTCTCAAGCACCATCTCGCACTGCCGATGGCTGCACATGTTCCAAAAAGTCGCTTGTCATTTCACTTCTTCACCATTTTGTCGGTTGTTATGTTTGGTTTTGTTGCACAACCCTTTTAGCATTGTTCTTTTCACTTAAGCCTTGGTCTGTGAGGCAGTTACAGTGAAGCTCTTCTTTAAAAATAATGAAATGTCAAACTCCTTAAATTCTAAACCAGCTTTTACTTCCCCAAATTTTCATTTCGACCTTCTCTTCTTCTGCTTCCTGACAGCTGTCCGTCTACAACTGGCTGTCGAGTTTAAAGGGAGGGACTTATCTCAGAGCGTGGGGAGGTGTGACCTAACCCTTGATTCTAATTGGACGCGAAGACTTTAACTGCCAACGTGGTCATCCAATCAGCAGCTCGAGCAGGAAAGGCCGCGCTCGCGCTGAGGCGCGTCACATGCACATCTTTGAGGATGATTTTTATTAATGACCGACCTCACGTGTACTTTCGGTTCTGAGCCGTAAATAAAGCCACAGAGCGAACCCCCGTGATCTCAGCCAGTGCCCGGTTTCAAACCCACGCACTCGGACCAAAAAGGAGGACTTTTGCGCCTCCGTTGCAAAAAAATCTGCAAAGCGCTCAAGAGGCTGAATGAGACCTACCCATCCCCCGTTATCTTGTATCCAGCTGTCAAGGGGTCCATTTAAATATTCCGTCATCCACTCCGCGATGTGGTCCACCTGCGATGTCATCTCCTCTTTGGACGCGCACTCCACGCACACCGTGCTTCCGAACTCGAAGAAAGCGATAATCCGACCCCAGTTCACGCCGTCCCGGAACAGTTCGTTTATGACCTCGGCGAACCTCGTCCTCGCCGTGTCTCTGGTGAGGTACAGCTGCTGCGACATCTCCACGAAGTCCAACTGGTACAGTTTCTCGAGTTCGTCCCCGGCGTCGCGCAGGACCCGGTGGATGTCTGCGTACGGGTCGGACTGGGAGATCCGCCTGCAGAGGCGGTGGGGGTCGCTGTCGCTGTCGGGCCCCGGTCCTGCATCGCGGCAGCGCCGAACCAAAGTCGGCGAATGGTCACCTAAACCTCCGTTATTGGCGGCGGCGTCGTCCGGGACTCCGTTAAACCCCCACACGTATCCCCGTTTGGAGAGTTTATGGCAGATGTAGTTTTCCACAATGTTGCGATTGTAGTCGTTCGCCATCCCTAAATGTGACACTTAGTGTAAATCAGAGCGTGCCCTAAATAGAATGCATTCTGATCGGAATTGTGCGGTGCTGTTCAATCCCACTGCAAAGCCTCGTCTAAACCTGGGTTTATGCTGAGATCTAAGAAACGCAATTAATTACTCCGCTCCACGGGCGAAAAATATTTAATAAACTCAGAAAATCAATTTGAGGCGAAATAAAAAAGCCCGATTTGGATCTAAAAAAAAAAAATAATAATCCTCGGTTCCGTTTAAGCAGGAGTCTTCTTTTCCCGAATCCTTGCAGGGACACTGCTGGGGAGCGATCCAATATGCGGAAGAGCTTGGAGTAGTTTGCTTGTTCCTGTGCACATCCCCCAGGCGTAGACGAGCAGCGATTAGAAAAAAATATATGAATGAAAGCCAAAGTTGTGCGCGCCTGAAGGGGGATCCACGGCGGCTCAACGGATTTTAACCCCGCTACAAGCCGAGCAGACGCGGGGCTGTGAGTCAGACAAGGTCGGACTGGGTCCTCTTCAGCGATCACTCCTCATATCAGCAGCAGCAGCAGCAGCAGCAGCTCCAGCCCACCACCAGTGGGCCGCGCTCTCTTTCTGACGTAAGCTCAGTCTCCAACTCGATGCGGGGGGGAAACCCTTTTTTGTAGCCAGTGTTTGAGTAAGTATTGCACTATAAATGTATGTGCTATTAAAAGCCAACTTTCCGTAAGAACGCGTTCCTTTCATTTTTAAAACCGTGCGTGAGAAAACGGTTCAGCTTTCTTTTCATCAGCTCCGTTCTCCCCCTTGTGGTTGAAAGAGTTTACTAAATCTTTGGCCCCATAGACCTAAGACTGTTTAACATTTGCACTTCTAGGCACGTTACGAGCTTAAAATGTTTTCTGTACTTAACCACTACTTAAATAGTGCAGACTGAGTATAAAAGTAGAGTAAAAGGATAACAATAATATTAAAAATAAAATCTGGAAATTGAAGCGTTCATTTGGATACAACTCATTTTATTCTGAAACACCTAAATTAGAGCAACCAATCAACTTCAGAAGTCAACTATTCTAAATAAAGGTGATCTATGTGTACTTTTTTTTTTAAAAAAGCGCTTAGGTGAAGACCTGAGGTTTTCTTTTTTTTTACAATATTGGTTGATGATTAGAAAACAAATATAACTGTTTAAAAGAGTGACCACTATTCTGTTACATTTAATTGTCACTCTTTGGAACAATTTTCCAAGAGTAGGTTAGTATCAATCCATCTGAAATTGGTACAAATATGGGACAACCGTGAGCCTATCGAGACATGATTGTCCACATAAGCTTACAGGATCGGCTCATGGTAACTTTAGAGGAGCTGCAGAGATGTACAGCCCAGGTGGGAGGATCTTTTGATAGAGACAAGCATAAGACATTCACTCTAAAAAAAAAGGTCTTCATTTAAGATGTGAGACTGCTGCTGCTGCTAGAAAAGTCATAAGAAAATCATATTTGCAATTTCTAGTTAGATGAGACCAAAAATCAACTTCATGGCCTACATGAAAACCTCACATTACCCTGAATACACCCTCCCCCATGGTGAAATATGATGGTTGAGGTGTCATGTTGTGGATGGACACTGAAGCTGGTCAGAGAGAATGAGAAAATGGTTGCTGCGATGCATGTAAATACAGGACAGTCATGAAAGAAAACCTGTAAGGCGTTATAAAAGATGAGACCAGAGAAGATTACCTCCCAGCAAGACAGTGCACTTAATACGACAGCCAGAGATAGTTCAGTTAAAAACATTTTCATGTTAGAATGGTTCCGTCAAAGTCCAGACCCAATTTCAACAAAGATTTTGTGGCAAGACCTTAACACTTCTGTTCCTCATCCAATTTATCTGAGCTATAAATAGCTTGCAAAGAGGAATAGGCAAAACATTCTATTATTTTGAATTTAAAAGAAAATCTGTTACATCCACTTCACTAATATGCCCTGCTTTTGTTCCAAGAGGCATTTCAGCTTTTGCAAGGTGCTGTACAATGTACAATCTCTTAATCCTACATAGCACTACTACTAATGTCTTACTACAATACTCAGAACAAGAAGTAAAACTAAAACACTTAGGCAGTTAGTTCTTTTTTCAATACAATTATTTATTTTATCATGTAAGAAAATAAGACATAAGAACGCGTTCCACTTTTGAAAACTTCTTTCAATGGCACACAAGGTGAAGGTGTTAAATCATTTTGGCAGAAACAGAAAAAGGGAGAAAAAAAAAGTCAGAGCAAAACACAAGAGTATGCAGAATGACTTTCATGTTCAATATTCTTAAACTGATGAGGAACATACTGATAACACTATTGAGGAGCTGGGGAGACTAAAGCTTCAGTTTACACCGATGTTCAAACATACTGTAAGCATAGGCTTTCTTTGCATAGCTTAAAGGTGTTCAAACAAAACTGCTTCTACATAAGCTACATGTTTCACTATGTGTTGCTACCTCAAGGGGGGAGGAGAACTTTATAAAGCAAATGCATGCAGGATAATGAAATGATCTCCAGGTGTAGGGCGGAATGCCTTGAAACCAATATCAAATGAGAACATCATCAAACAAGTCATCCATTCCCACGTTCATATCTTGGATTGAGTAAGGCTCTTTTTTTCATCATGAAAAGAATAGAAACTGATCAAATACAGAGGAAAAATTGAATTTTACAGGGAACAACAACAACAACAAAAAAGTGGATTAAGTCACACTGTTAAGATCTGTCCAACTCATAGCTTCTGACTTATCAGTTGTCACCTCTTAAGGCTCACAATGACTCAAGTCGCCCTACTCCATGTTTTCTACAAGCGACGATCAACAGAGCGGCAACATAAATTTAACATCTTTTGGCATTCAAATGTTGGATCTAAAAATAATAAAGAGTCCAAAAGCCTGATTTGAATGTTGGCATGAAGGTACATTCATTGTAAAATGGGCTAAAGGAAGACTGTGAGAGTCTATGAAGCATTTCTTAAGTCTCTGGAAAGATAGAAGTTTATTCAAGGCTCGACAGAAACCAGACGGAAATTTAGAACCAACTGTGGAACTACTGGTCCAAACTCACAGAGATGCTGCCTGTCTGAGTGATATTTTGGACTTTGTGTAAAAACAAATTTCTTTGCTGTCAGTGGACCTAAAGAGACAGGACTCGAACCAGCGAGTCAAGTCTTGACCTGACTCAACAACAACCAAACAGACAAGTGAATCCCAACAGTTTCCAAACTCGGATGCATCGACACACATGATAATAATAATAAATGAGAGTTGGGGTGCAGTGTATGAGCTTGCGCAGGTGAAAAGTGAAATCATGTGCTGGCTTTTCTCCTTTCGCCCTACCTACGACTTCATGGCTTCAACTCGCAAAAAAAAAAAAAAGCTTCTTTTCTAAGCTGGAATGATGAAGAAAAGATTCGGTGTCTTAATAATCAAGAAGATTAAATCAAATGGCTTTTCTGTCCCTCACTGGGTTGGCTCAGTCACAGTAAAAACACACATTCATGCACACAGTTCACCTACAATTATTGTTTTGTTTTTGTTGTTACCCTCACTGCATTTAAAATGAGAGACATCAATATAATTTTGGATGGATGTTTTTTTTTTACATTTTCAAAATCAGAAATATTGCAAAAACAAAAAAAAAAAAAACCTCACTCAAATATCAATAAAGAAGACAGTTACATCACTTCACAGCTTAGTACACACGCAAAGCACAAAGACAAAATATACGGCAAAAAACCCCACAGAGTTCCAGTCAGAGGTCATTCAGTCAAAAGGGAAGGTGCTTTGCCTGCAAAGACTTGAGGTACAAAACCTATTTAGTGAAAACTCTAAAATTCTCAGTATAAAGTGGAGATAATTCTGTGATATAATGTAACAAGACGACAAAGTGTAAGCTTACTTTCTGTTTTACATTATAGCTCGCAGTAGGAAGGAATTTTAAGCCATATTTGGTACAACTAGTCAAGCGGTCTTCTGCTTCTGTTCGCAAAGAAGAAAAAAAAAAAGCACTAGTGTGACTCAGTGCTTCAAAGGAATCACGTATTATAAAAACTGCAATGTTTACTCTGCCCCTTCTTCTTCTTTCCATTCCTAAAACGAGGAATTGACATTTAAGCACAGGTATGCCCTGTTCAAAGAGGGCAGAAAATGTAAGACTTAATCTTTAAAGAGAAGTGATGTCACCAGAAAGTAAACATAAAACACTATGTTTTTTTCTGATCTTTTCATAGTTGATATCAAACTTTTGGCTTGCATGTGCATTCCAACTCAATTGTGTACATTTGTAAAGACGGAGGAAAAAGCTGCAGAGGAAGAGGAGCAGTACTGGGCTGTGAGGACTTTAAGGCTGCGGCTACTCCTTCTTGTCGGCTGCTTTTGATTGCTCCCTCTGAATCATGCAGCGGCGCACGATGCTGTCAAAACTCCCCAGGTAGAAGAGGGCGATACTCCGAAACAACCCCATTGTGACAATCTGTGTGAACATTCAAAGTTACAACCATATGTACAGCAAACTGGCATGCTTGAGGTCATGTTTTAATCACATCTCAATAAATTAGAACATCACTGAACAACTGATTTCAGTAACTGAATTCAGAAATTGAGACTCATACATAATTTACATTCGACACACTAGTGTGTGTGAGATATGTTTTGTTTATTTCTATTAAGTGCAATAAGTCCGATATCGACCAGGAAATTAATGAGGACCTCATACTTCCTGTTGCCAACAAGCTTTATAGATCAATTTTAAAGTAGTTTGATATCGTCCCACATTACCAAAACTAGATTTCTGATCTTAATCATAAATCTGATTTGAATATTCCAGGCAGCAATATTGACCACAATAGTGCTGCCAAGATAATCTATGGAGTATCATCAAGAGGAAAATGAGGGGCTCCAACAATGGAGAAAAGTTCAGTGCTACTTTTAAAACAACCTGGACTTCCTTAACACCTCAACAGGGTCTGAACAGATCTATGCCACACAGCGTTGAAGATGTAATTCATCCTTCTGAATGTTTGTCATGAAAACAAAGGCATGAAGATACTTTCGCAGCAGGCCAACATTTATGTATAAAAAATATTTTAAGTCACTTTTTGGTCTAATTTCCTTAAAAACTTTACTGTGGGGTTTTATTAGATAGAAGCCATAATCCAAAACTAACAGAAGTAAACGCTAAATATACATCAGTTTGTAGTTCATCTATACTATATAGAAAAAAGAATTACGTTTTGAATTGAATTACTCAAATAAATCTACATCTGAGAAAAATTTCAAGTTACTGAGCGGCACCTGCATGTGTATGTTCGTACCTGCTGGAGGCCTTCTGTGATGGAAGTGACAGGTGACATTCCACAGGTGAGAGCTGATAGCATGTAACCATCTGGGCCAACTGAGCTGTTAAAGTTTCCTTGCTGCAAAGACAAAAAAAACAACAACAGGGAAGCTTAAACTTTAACACAATATACATTTTAAAGTTGAGTCAACAGTAGCTGAAAGAATTTTCTTACCACCGC